TTAGTTTCTTTGTTCTTATTTTATTGCTGACTGTTTACTTCCGCAAGTGTTTTGAGGACTCTTTACTTACTTGATAAAAATGAAAGGTTTAAAAATGCTGGGTTGTTTTAACCCAATTTTGGGTCAAATATGGACACTCAAACATTGGGTTAAAAATTTAATAAAAAAATAACCCAATGACTGGGTTTGTCCATATTTGACCCAAATTTGGGTTAAAACAACCCAGCATTTTTTAGAGTGTAAGCTTACCAATCTCTGTTTAAAAATGTGCTTTTTATTATTTATTACAAAAAATAATGATTTTTAACACAATGGCACCCCATGCACGGCATATATACCCAGGGCCCTTTTAAAAAAAAATTTTTTTTTACACAAGGTATTTTTGCATGTTTAAAATCTAGTATGGCCTCCCCTTTCCTCACTCTCCCTTTGTCCTTTCGTTTAAATTTGCACTCTGACCCTCTTTTTTTTTTTTTTTTGTGCTGAATCAGCCCTTTCTGTCTCCTCATTTGCCTGTGACATGCTGGCATTACTCATACCAACACGTACACAGCGGAGGGAAAGGTGCCACAGGTCACTGTCATGACCCAGAGCAGAAAACCACATTATTATTATTACACCCCTCCGCCTACGTCACAATTTAGACATGTCCGTATCAATTTCACTGTTTTGAAACCATCCAAATGCATGGAAGTATTAGCAGAATGCTTTACGTGTGTGTGTGTGTGTGTGCGTGTGTGTGTGTGTGTGTGTGAAAAACCACATGTGAAACTCGAAAAATTTGAATATCGTGCAAAAGTTCATTTATTTCAGCAATTTAACTTAAAAGGTGAAACTAATATATTATATAGACTCATTACATGCAAAGTGAGATATTTCAAGCCTTTATTTGTTATAATTTTGATGATTATGGCTTACAGCTTATGAAAACTTTACAAAAATTACAAAATTACAATATTGTGAAAAGGTTTTCATAGCTGTAAGAGAAGTCTCTTCTGCTCACCAAAGCTGCAATTATTTGATCAAAAATACAGTAAAATCATTAAAACTGTGAAATAGTATTACCTTTTTAAAAGAACTCTTTTCTATGTGAATATATTTGAAAATGTAATTTATTCCTGTGGTCAAAGCTGACTTTTTTCACAGTGTCACACAGATATCATTCTAATATGATGATTTGAAACATTTATTTTTATTATCAATTTTGCTGCTTTGGAAACTGTGATACATTTTTCCTTCAGGATTCTTTAACGAATAGAAAGTTCAAAATAACAGCATTTACTTAAATGAAACAGAATTATTCAATCTTATACCAACCACAAACTGTTGAATAGTAGTGTATGTCACATATAACCTTTTTTGCCCCATATTTATCTGGGGCATTTTTGTCTCTTTCTGTGCAAATGTTTTTTTTTTTTTTTTTTGGATAAATTTCTGAAGCTGCACGCTTTGATGAAAGATTGTAATCCGTGGCTTGTATTGACCTGCTCATGTTTGCTCTGTCCTGAATAGCAGATGTTTTCTAGTCACATTTTCTTTCCTTCACAAAAAAGGAAAAGGATCGAATCCTAGGGCAAAGATCTCCTGCTCTCTGTGGGATTGTAAATGACCTAGTATTTACATTCTAACTATCCGACGTAAACTGCTGTCTAAGCACGATCAGGCATAGCTGGGGATTATTGACACCACAAGGTGTTTTCAGTGCTTCTATAAGATCACATTTAAATTCAAAACGGCAGACTGAAATCGAAAACTGATGAGCTCAGGGGAAGTTATTTAAGAAGACAACAGGAAATGCAGTGTTTAGGTGTGAGGATGTGCTTTACATTCAGAGAGACGGAGAAAGACATGACTCTTGTGTATTTTAAGGATTTTTTTATTTCTATTTGTGTATAAATTGACCTGTTGCCCTTGCAGCAGATATAGTGAAGCTATAGGGAGCAGTGAGTGCTCATCACACACACGTTCCTCCTTCACTCGTGTTTAAAAGCGTCCCATGATGCACCTCGGGAAGTTGGTTTATGAATGTCAATGTCCAGAGCAAGCAGAGCTGGAATCTAGAGCAAGGAGTTTTTCATTTTAATGACGACTTCCTTCAATATTATTCTAATACAGGTTTAAATGATTCAAGTTATTGAAAGTATCAGCCAGGGACGTTTCTGACCATTTCAAAACTTAAAAAGCAAAGTTTTTAAGCATTGATTCGATACTTAATTTAAAAAAAAAAATTTTTTAGACAAGTTCTCTTTCAGTTTACTTTCTATCAAATCACAAAATCACAAATCACAAAAAAAAAATATATATATATATATATATTTATTGTGCTTTAAATTATAAGACACACAATCTATTAAACAAATGTACAATGCTTATAATTAAAATAAGAAATAATGCTACAGTATTATTATTTCTTCAATATAACACAATTGTTTTTGTTTATTTCACTTTCAATAATGCAACAGTAGCCTATTTTTTCAGTAAAAAATAAACATGCTTTATTAAAACAATTCAATTAACCCATGGCCAAGCATATATTAAATTATTGTTCTGTAATAAAATTAACGAAAACAAAAATATCACCTTTTTGTTACACAAATATGAATTTTGTAAACCTTGCCATATAATTCTGTGAACGAAAAATTTCTAGTTTTAAATTAATTTTACTGGATATAATACAGCTAACATGTTGATTCAAATGATTATTTAAAACAGATCATATTAGAAAGCCTGATATTTAGATTTTATTTCCGCATGTCAATTGAACACTTGTTTTCTGGACAAATGTTTGTTTGTTTTTTTCTTTTTCTTTTTTGTAACCAACCCAACACAAGCATATTTTGCTGTTGCGGTCATAATTTTTTTTACCACAGACCTTATTTCAGCCATTTAACCAAAGCCCACTGACTTCGGGTCGATGGAGCCGGAAGTGCTAAAATGCAAACTCGTTTCCGCGTTTGACAAATCTACGTCATTCCTGCACAACTTTATTCAGCTAGATATCAAAGACTGGACATCAGTAGCACAGAAACAGCATTGATTTGCTTGAAAACGGGTTTATGCTGAGGACAGTTTTGTGTTTTATGTATTTGCACTTTAACGTCATCATTGACATGGCTTAATTTTTTTTTTTTTTTTTTTTCATGCATGTGAGTTAAATGCATATTCAGAAATTGATGTGGATTGTTAAATTCATATTCAGAAATTGATGTGGATTGTTAAATTCATAATCAGAAATTGATGTGGATTGTTAAATTCATATTCAGAAATTGATGTGGATTGTTAAATTCATATTCAGAAATTGATGTGGATTGTTAAATTCATATTCAGAAATTGATGTGGATTGTTAAATTCATATTCAGAAATTGATGTGGATTGTTAAATTCATGATCAGAAATTGATGTGGATTGTTAAATTCATATTCAGAAATTGATGTGGATTGTTAAATTCATATTCAGAAATTGTTGTGGATTGTTAAATTCATATTCAGAAATTGATGTGGATTGTTAAATTCATATTCAGAAATTGTTGTGGATTGTTAAATTCATATTCAGAAATTGTTGTGGATTGTTAAATTCATATTCAGAAATTGATGTGGATTCTTAAATTCATATTCAGAAATTGTTGTGGATTGTTAAATTCATATTCAGAAATTGATGTGGATTGTTAAATTCATATTCAGAAATTGTTGTGGATTGTTAAATTCATATTCAGAAATTGATGTGGATTGTTAAATTCATATTCAGAAATTGTTGTGGATTGTTAAATTCATATTCAGAAATTGTTGTGGATTGTTAAATTCATATTCAGAAATTGATGTGGATTGTTAAATTCATATTCAGAAATTGTTGTGGATTGTTAAATTCATATTCAGAAATTGTTGTGGATTGTTACATTCATATTCAGAAATTGTTGTGGATTGTTAAATTCATATTCAGAAATTGTTGTGGATTGTTAAATTCATATTCAGAAATTGTTGTGGATTGTTAAATTCATATTCAGAAATTGTTGTGGATTGTTAATTTCATTCCCAAGCCCATATTGTAAATGGAAATCTTGATTCTTCTGATGAATAACCATGTTTGGTAATGTTTCTGGTAGAATAGAATAATAATAATAATTCAAATAATGATGTTTTATTTAAATATCACTTTTAATATATATTATACAATTAAATATAATTTGTATATATAAATTATTTACATTTTTTATTTATTCCCCCACAATTTTTTATTAAAATACATTTTATTTATCATAAATTACATTAAGCGTAATTTAATGCAACTATTTTTTTATAATTTATTTAGTTTTTATTATATGTAAAAAAATAATTTAATGAAATCGATTATAAAAAGTAAAACATTGATCGGGGACCTGTGCTTAATTTTCATAAAAAATAAAGTCACAATGCAAAAAAATATCTTAAAAGTATTCTTCATTTTCTTTATGTAAAATATAATTTCTGATCTCTTCCTTCTTTTTTTGAAAGGTTCAGCGTGACCTGAACATGTTTTCGCGGGATTTACTCCTACTACACCCATCCAGGAGAGTCCGCTTTCATGTTGTAGCTCTTCCTGCATGCAGTCAGAAAACACAGAATAGAATATTTTAGAATATATATCCAATCTATATTTCATTGGCATTGATTTTTATGTCATATACACTCAGTTTTGGCTTCTCGTTTTTAAACACAGCATTAAATCAGTCCATATAGCACATATGAAATTGTAAAACCACAAAACCTGATGGCCTCACTCAGGAATGTGAAGTATGTGAGCCAAAGGAAACCAAGAGCAGGCAAAGGGTGGGGGGTGTGAATGTAATGTCATATCCTCTCGCTCCGAAACTGGAATGTTTTGCACTCTACATAGTGCATGTAAAAGCATGCATGCATACTTCACATGCAATCTGCATTGTTATCTGAGTGAAGAAGAGGCTGTTTGTGAGGTTTGTAAGTGTTGTTTGTGTGTACATCCCCCCCCTTTAAAGAGAGCACAGTGGTTTCTTCCATAGTGGGAGGTGTAGTTTTGTGGAGAAGTCACCGCAGATCAATGAACTGAGCGAAACAGACGGGCTGGGCAAGCCGACTACACCGAGCGTATGTGGGATATATGCTTTTCCTTCCGCAAGACATAATATTTCCTCCCTGCGACGATTCGCTCTTAAAGATACAACTGAGTGAGACTATATGACAGCACTGCTCGGTCTCTATGGTTTGTAGAGCCACAACACACAACTTTACCCTCCTGGATAGGCAAGAACATACAAGATAGAAGCGTTTAGTAGAAATTTATTCATCCGTCAAGGGGATATTCGGTTGTTGAGGATGATTTTTGCAAATTCTGGACACACAGTGAGGACGTCGTATAATCGTAAACAGGTAAACATCTTATTTCACTTTAATGGTGGCCCTGTGGTTTAAAGTGTGTGTTTGGCGTCTATATGTGTTTGTGGAAACTGCTACACTTTTATTGTTGTAATAATGTAAATATGCATGGCTGGTCGACGGATGAAAGACTGCTAGTGTCCAAAAGTAGCACTTCCATGAAACTAATCCATAAAGAATAGCTGTCATTCGTGCCCTTCCAATCAAACGCTCGCCTCTGATGGGTGTGTTTTTGTTGTGTTAGCTTTTCATTTTATTGTGTTACTGCACAACTCATTCACAATTTTTAAACCCCCCCCCCCAATCAAACCCGTCCCACGAGTTTAAAAATAGGCCTCTATTTGAACAAGTTTTTACGCGTCTCATGCACGTCACTGCATTTTCCTCTGATGTGAATATGCATTCACAGCCCTGTCTGCCTGCTTTGATGGAGTGTTTGGTTTCAGTGGTTAATCTGCTTTACCGGCCTGTAATGGTCAAAAGTCACAGTGCTGAATTAATGCACCTTGTGTGTTCTCATATTGACACTGTTCGTTTAAGCCTTCTCTAATCTCACCCCATGCATTTCACATGCACCACCTTGAACATGTCCAAGTCACATTTCAGCCTTATTTGTAGATTGTGCATAAAGAAAAAATGACAAATTTGAAAACATTTGGTGGAAATGTATTAATCCCTCGGTTGTTGAGGGATGATATGCAAACTCTGGCCACAGTGAGGACGTCACATGAGGACGTGACTTTAATTGTGGCCCTCATAGTTACATGTTCTTTGAGGTGTGGTTTTAAAGTCTTTTTGGGTGAAACCTGCAAAGAAAATATCAAAGTCATATTTCAGCTGGATTTCTGGCTTTTGCATAAAGAATATGAGAAATTTTCATGACAATTCCCTCTCAAATTCTCATTACTTTAATGCCAAACCAAAAACTCTCTCTCTATATATAATGCAAGTGTATCTTGTAACTGTATTTACAACATATTATTTTATGCAAGCATATTTAACTGTAATGCATCAAAACATTAACATATCACATTACTCACAATTGGGAAGAAACTGAAAAGTCAAATGTCTGCATTACGGTAATGAGAATTTTGGCTAAATTTACATTTTTAAAATTTAAAATCACAATAATTTAACCTAATATAGTTTGTAATATGATTTTGGGGTCAGATGTGTTTCATTTGATCCGTAACTCGGTGTAGATTGGTTTAGGTGACCTTGTCATATCAGCGCATCATGTTGGGATCAGATAGCGTCGCTGTTTGGAGTTGCAGTATCTGCGGAAGCCTTGTTGCGAATGCTTTTGTTGCATCTCCTAATGATGAAATTTGATTTATCAGCAGCACGCTAAGAGATTGAGCTCTTGATAAAAGAGGAAGGAGAAGAGGAGGCTGGAAGAGGAAGGGCTTGGTAGTCGCTCAAGAGGATTATGCATATATTCATAGGCCCGTTTAGCAGCCGAGCGGGATCTCTCGCAGGGTGAGGGCGGTTACTGGAAGTCTTCAGTGTATTTCCAGCACGGATATGATGGGCTGACTAGGTCTGCGGTTCTCTGATAAGAAGCCAGTCTCTCCCCGCAGAGCTGAATGGTCAAACAGATGCGAGATACAAAACAAGCTTTGAGTTCCTAAGAAAAGCCCGTTCCACTCTGGGAATGTGTGTGTTTCGGTCAGGCCGGAGGACCTTCGAGGGGAAACACTGGCTTCTCGTCCTCAAAGATGTTCTTTGTCCACTTGTTTGTGCCTCGTTTCCTGTTTCTCCAATGCAAAGATCAGATGAGCGGTCTTGTTTTGTTTTTTTGGAGGTCTGTCCTGAAGTCGTGGCTTGAAAAACCGACTGTTTTCTTGGAAACTGCGTGTTGTTGTGCTGTCCCATATGTGTTTATTAATTCGGAAATAAAATGTCACAGTGTTCTCCTGTCTGACAGGATGAAGTCAACAGGAAGAGCTACTTTATTTTACATGAATAGGATGGTAAAATGTGATTCTGCTAAACTATTCATCCTGCGAGCATTTAAAGAGATTAGCACGCTTCAAGGACTTCCCGCTTGACCGGCAACGTGACTAACTGTGCTGTTTTCCAGTGTATCCTCTCTCAACACTTGACTAATAGCATAAAGTCATTGTGCTTTACAGGATGACGAGTTTATTTTCATCTAAAGTAGAAACCAGGGGCGTTTTCTCCAAGGCTGGAGAGGCAGTGCCTTCTTAGAAAAACAAAACAAAACTGAATGAGAATCAGCCGTACAGGAACAAAGCAAAAGCAATATGTCATATTGTATAGTATTATAACTACCCATTTTTTCACTGACACAAACAAATAAAGCCTTCCTTTAGCTTGTTACATTTTCATTAAGCTCTGAAAGCACGACATGAATGGTGAAATACAGGCTAAGAGTGACAGAATGTGCTTTTTTTTACTTCAAGTATTGTGTAAGAAATGCTATAAACTTCATTTAAACTTGAGAATGAACTTGGGTGTGACTTAATTAGGCATTAAAATGCATATATGGTTGCTTGTTGATTGTGTAAAGCTGTCGTTCCTTATGCCTTTAAGCCAGAAACCATGTGAAAGCATGCATTTAAATTGGACTAAAAAACCTGAACACAAAGAGACTTTGCTGCCTAATTTCAGAAGTCAAAACATGCCACTGATAGAAGAGACGCTTTAATTGCCCTGTTAAATGTTCAGTTGGAGGAATTCATATCAAGGCAGATTTAGTGTTGCTAGTGACCTTTAATAATCCACCGCCTTCTTTTTAAACTCGAGCTGCTTGCCTCATTTATCCAGTCTTGTGGTTTCGCCTTTACGCAGCTGCATTGGACAATGGCATAAAGAGCGGCCAAAGGGTTTCCAGGCCATTTCAATAGGACATTGACTCTGTCCTGACCCCTAAATGCTGTCTTTGTTGTGTAGACCTTTAATGAAATGATATTTTGTTCGGCACTACTGGATTTCATGGAGCTCAGATCTGTGCTTTTCAGCACCTGCCAATCTTGGGCATTTCACTGCTGTCTCTGCCTTTGTGGGGGAATTAAAGGTGCAGTAAGCAATTTTTGAAAAACGCCATTGAAAACTGGATCGAACCGAACTCCAAAACACATGTAGCCAATCAGCAGTAAGGGGCGTGTCCACTCATGATAGGGGAGGAGAGAGAGTGAGCCAATCAGCAGTAAGGGGTGTGTCCACTCATGATAGGGGAGGAGAGAGAGTGAGCCAATCAGCAGTAAGGGGTGTGTCCACTCATGATAGGGGACGAGAGAGAGTGAGCCAATCAGCAGTAAGGGGCGTGTCCACTCATGATAGGGGAGGAGAGAAAGTGAGCCAATCAGCAGTAAGGGGTGTGTTCACTCATGATAGGGAAGGAGAGTGAGCCAATCTGCAGTAAGGGGCGTGTCCACTCATGATAGGGGAGGAGAGAGAGTAAGCCAATCCGCAGTAAGGGGCGTGTCCACTCATGATAGGGGAGGAGAGAGAGTAAGCCAATCAGCAGTAAGGGGCGTGTCCACTCATGATAGGGGAGGAGAGAGAGTGAGCCAATCCGCAGTAAGGGGCGTGTCCACTCATGATAGGGGAGGAGAGAGAGTAAGCCAATCCGCAGTAAGGGGCGTGTCCACTCATGATAGGGGAGGAGAGAGAGTGAGCCAATCAGCAGTAATGGGCGTGTCCACTCATGATAGGGGAGGAGAGAGAGTAAACCAATCCGCAGTAAGGGGTGTGTCCACTCATGATAGGGGAGGAGAGAAAGTGAGCCAATCAGCAGTAAGGGGCGTGTTCACTCATGATAGGGAAGGAGAGTGAGCCAATCAGCAGTAAGGGGCGTGTCCACTCATGATAGGGGAGGAGAGAGAGTAAGCCAATCCGCAGTAAGGGGTGTGTCCACTCATGATAGGGGAGGAGAGAAAGTGAGCCAATCAGCAGTAAGGGGCGTGTTCACTCATGATAGGGAAGGAGAGAGCCAATCAGCAGTAAGGGGCGTGTCCACTCATGATAGGGGAGGAGAGAGAGTGAGCCAATCAGCAGTAAGGGGCGTGTCCACTCATGATAGGGGAGGAGAGAGACTAAGCCAATCAGCAGTAAGGGGCGTGTTCACTCATGATAGGGAAGGAGAGAGCCAATCAGCAGTAAGGGGCGTGTCCACTCATGATAGGGGAGGAGAGAGAGTAAGCCAATCAGCAGTAAGGTGCGTGTCCACTCATGATGAGGGAGGAGAGAGAGTGAGCCAATCAGCAGTAAGGGGCGTGTCCACTCATGATAGGGGAGGAGAGAGAGTAAGCCAATCAGCAGTAAGGGGCGTGTTCACTCATGATAGGGAAGGAGAGAGCCAATCAGCAGTAAGGGGCGTGTCCACTCATGATAGGGGAGGAGAGAGAGTGAGCCAATCAGCAGTAAGGGGCGTGTCCACTCATGATAGGGGAGGAGAGAGACTAAGCCAATCAGCAGTAAGGGGCGTGTTCACTCATGATAGGGAAGGAGAGAGCCAATCAACAGTAGGGGGCGTGTCCACTCATGATAGGGGAGGAGAGAGAGTAAGCCAATCAACAGTAGGGGGCGTGTCCACTCATGATAGGGGAGGAGAGAGAGGTCAGTGCAAAAGACAGACATTAGCAGAACGACTATAGAAAATACAAAAGAGGAAAAGGCCAGGGGAATATAAGTTTAAAAAGAAAGGTTACAATCAGGCAAGACCCGGTTAATATTGGAGAAGCGCTGGAGAGACCTTAAGGAGCGCGAAGGCCTGAAAACGGATGCCGAGGTTGCTTTATATAACTAAGATATGCTGTCTTTTGCTTGAAGTCACTCGTGTGTCATCTTCGCTTGTTTTTTCATTTGCATTATAATTATTATTATTATAAGCCTGGAACGTCTAAACCTCCTCCACCGCCCATTTCAAGCATCGGCTCCTAAAGTATGTCCGAAAAGTGAGATAACACTCCTAATATATGGTTTTTCTTTTGGTTCCCCTTTTAGTGATCACTATGATGACCCTTTAA